CCAGGCAGAGTCACTGAACCGGAAAAAGAGGCGCCGCTTGTCCGATCGGCCGTCCGGTCACGTGGCGTTCGAGCCGGAACAGCCGCCGCGGACCGACGGCGGCCTTTGCCGGCCTCGGCTTGGGGCATGCTCGGCGAAACGGCTTCTTTGGCGCCCGACAGGTACCAAGTCAACCGACCCATGTTGCCAAGTGACACATCAACTGGGACGGGGAAGGTGGGATTGCGTGTTTGTTGTCCGACGCTGCTCTTGCACTCGGGCAATTCGTACAGCCTCTCAAAGTCAACAAAACCCCGTCTATTGGTACCGTGTGTGTGTGTGTGTGTGTGTGTTTGTATTTGTGTTTTTATTTCGCAAACAAGGGACCGATGGCGCCGACAGAAGGATTCGCTAGACACACAGACCTCGTGGACTGCTTGTAAGTGTGACCTCACCTGCGGAGGTATGAGGTGCAAGTGTGTGTGTGTGTGTGTGTGTGTGAGTGTGTATGTTTGTATTTGTGTTTTTCTTTCGCAGACAAGGGACCGATGTGGCCGACTAAAAGATTCGCAAGACTACTTGCAAATGTGGCCTCACTTGCGCAAGTCTGAGGTGCAAGTGTGTGTGTGTGTGTTGTGTGTGTGCCTCGCTGCCGTCTGGAGGCGGCACGAGGCAGAGTGTCGACTCACCAAATGATAAAAGTCCGAGACGTCCGCCAACGTGGCCACCGTCGAGTCGTGGTGACGTCGACATTCGTCGGCCGAGTCCGCGAAGCCGGTTCGCTTGAGGAGGCGATAGACGCGTGAGCACACACCACAACTGCCCTGGTTGCCATGGCGTCGGGTCAAGTCGTCGGTGAGTTGAAGGGTGACATGTGCGAGCAAGGACTCGTGTCTGTGTCGCCGCGACGAGGCTGGAGGACGTGCGCTCCACGTCGTCGCATCGTCGGTTTCCGCTCCAAAGTCGACCCGTTCGCCGAGGTCCCGTTTCGCCACGGAGCCAAGACGCACAATGCCGACCTCCGGCGTGGGCAACCATGGCAACAGCTGAAGGCCAACCGAGTTGTTGTGGCCTCGGACGGCGGTCAGCTCGCCGAGACCGACGAGGAGGAGGAGAATGAGGAGGAGGAGGAGGAGGAGGAGGGGGAGGAAGGATCGGGTTGCGATGGCCATGACGTGTCCGGTTGCTGGCCGGAGCGGGGGGTCGAGCTCGGACTCCAGAGACGAGGGTCAGACGAGCGGACCGGCCCGGGGACAGGACCAATCCATGCAAGCGTATTGTCAAGTTTAGGCGGTAAAAGCGGCCACCGTCACCGTCACCGTCGCCGTCACCGTCACCGTCGTTGTCGCCGTCGCCGTCGCCGTCGCCGTTGTTCTCATTCTGGCCGTCGACATTGTCTTTGTCCGCTTGGTTCGAGGCACAGACTGCATGTGAGAAGGGACGGCGGTACAATTGTGCTGCCTTCGCGAGGCTGAGTTGGCAGGTGTAGTCGCTATAGTCACACTCGTGCAATGTGGGACAAGCAGACGGAGAGTATTGGTGCTACTGCCCCTCTGCTAACAGTTGATTGGTCCTTTCCGCATGCCACAAATGAGCCAATCACAATACGAGCTCAATCACATACTACTTAGTCGACTGTCTTTACAGTAGCCTGACACGGATAGTAGAAGAATGTACAGGTTTAAGTTATACTTATTTTTCGTACAGGTAGAATATATAAATATAAATAAATAAATATATAAATATATCTATAATACGCAATTATAATATTGTATATATATATATATATATGTATGTACAATATAATATTTAAAAAAAGAAATGAAGACCAAGATGATATGACCCTTTGTTTGACCTCGCTTTCACAAATTGGTCGAAGCAACAGGAGGGCCTTGTGGAAAGGTAAAGCCTCTGCCTTCGAATATACATGCCGGCATGGTAGTCGTCAGTGCGAGGCACCAGCCTTGGTACATAATTACAACGCATCAATCTGACAAATGTTATGTTGTAGATACGAAGAGTAACTGGGCTTCGATGAATCTCTTGAGATAGCATTGTTGGGCAGATGTTCATCTCATATGAAAGTGCATGAAGAAGAAATTTCTCGGTTGATCTCACCAGAAAGCGACAGTTAAATCCCGAACGAAAGTTTGTCCTGTTATCTTCTAAAACCAGGTAGAATGTATAGTGGACTGTATCAGCCCGAACGGCGTATTAAAACCAAACTGTTGTAGTTCAGCGGGATTCAGTCGTCCTCTTCTTGTGAGACCAATCTACGAATCTCTTACTCATGCACTTTCATTCAAATAAAGGTCTTCTCAAAGATGTTGTGCTGTGATTCTGTACGACTCAGTCCAAACTTCTGGAAGGGTACAAAGTCAACTGTTCAATGCTGAATATTATCATAAAAATCAATTGCTACGAATACATGACTAGGTGCATTATATGAGGTCCTCTTGTCACTCCAACCAAGTTGCGAAAAATAGATCAAATTTACACAATATT